ACTTGTTCCCGTTGCCATTAGTCGTCGGTCCAACCTCCCTCCTGGCGACTCGGGTGGCGGTTTTCTCTGCCCCAGTGCTCAGGTTCGATCATCTCCTAGTCGCCCATCTGGTCATCTCTTCCTCCATCTAACTGTCTCCGGAGTCGCTCTCCTGCACTCTGGCTGACAGATTCCTCCTTCTTTCAGGAATCCATTGCTGGCGACCTGGCCATCGAATCGACGTGCATCTTCGAGTTCCATCCTCGATCAGCGTCCATGCCCGGCATAACTCGCTTGGCCTCGGCCTCCCTTGACCGGGTCGAACATCAGGTTTGACCTGATCTGGTGGTTTGGCTCGGTCCAACTGAATGTGGTTCGCCCTGACCCACCCTAGCTCTGGGCTTGGCATTCGAAGCCCCAAGTCCCAGGCCCGGCCGTTCGGCCTGTAGGCGGCGCCGCCTCTAGCGCCGACTCCACTGTGCCGCCACCGCCGCCACCCACCTTCTCCTTGCCGTGGTCGTGTTGTCGCTCGAGCTGCTTCGGGGAGGGTAGGGAGACCTCTCGCTGCTCGTCAGTCTCCTCAATACTTACTGGGTCGTTGCTCTTGGGATTGTAACACCTTAGGTGAATCCCACATCAACAAAGCACAAGAGAGATCCATGGTTCATAAGTAGGAAACCGACCTTAACTGACAAGACGCGTTTTGGGGTGTAATGGAGGATTTCTTCTGAGAACTCTGAAGTTAAATGTGCTCAGTGTGGAGTACAACAAGGATGGGTGATCTTATGGGAAGTCACCTTGAATTGCACCCCAAGTCAAAATCCGTGGGGGTGTAGAGGCCCAAAGCGGACAGTATCTTCGTCGGGAAAAGGTTCGGGATGTTACAAGTTTATGTAACACCTTAGGCGAATCCCACATCGACAAAGCACGAGAGAGATCCATGGTTCATAAGTGGAAAACCGACCTTAACTGACAAGACGCGTTTTGGGGTGTCATGGAGGAGTTCTTCTGAGAACTCCAAAGTTAAACGTGCTCAGTGTGGAGTACAACAAGGATTAGTGACCTTATGGGAAGTCACCTTGAATTGCACCCCAAGTCGAAATCCGTGCGGGTGTAGAGGCCCAAAGCGGACAGTATCTTCGTCGGGAAAAGGTTCGGGATGTTATAAGTGGTATCAGAGCCTCTCCGCGTCCCTCTTGAATGATGGTGGGGCAAACCTCAACGAGGACGTTGAGTCCCGAGGGGGGGGGGTGTATGTAACACCTTAGGCGAATCCCACATCGACAAAGCACGGGAGAGATCCATGGTTCATTAGTAGGAAACCGACTTGAAATGACAAGACGCGTTTTGGGGTGTAATGGAGGAGTTCTTCTGAGAACTCTGAAGTTAAATGTGCTCAGTGTGGAGTACAACAAGGATGGCTGACCTTATGGGAAGTCACCTTGAATTTCACCCCAAGTCAAAATCCGTGCGGGTGTAGATGCCCAAAGCGGACAGTATCTTCGTCGGGAAAAGGTTCGGGATGTTATAGGGATCAACGACTACCACAGCCTAGTAGGCGGCCTTCCCGTTGTCACGTCGGATCAGGGTGTTCATAGCACGTAGCAGCTCCGCGAATCCTTCCTTCATGACAATGGCGTTGGAGTTTTGGGCCTCAATCGCTGACGGCGCTCCTCTCCCGCCATTGCTTCTGCATATTTCCCGTGCTGCAGCAGCTGATTCAGCTTGGTTGCTAACATCCCATGTCCTTCCTCCCGTTGCAAGAGTTAGCATACACCATCTCAGGGTCAATTTCCTCTTGCACAATGGGTTTGTCCAATGACGTATGTGATCCCTTCGTCTTGCTCATCATCCTGGTTTCAACTGGCATAAACCGTAGCCTTATAGTATGGCTCTGATACCAACTAATGAGTGCCTGGATCTAGGGTGGATGGTTGGTTTGTGAAGGTGGGTTAAAAGTGGTGCGAATGGGGAGGTTTGGTCGTGTAAAATGGAAAGAATGGATTGAAGTTGGTTTTTGGGGAATGGAACAGAAGGAGGGCTTGGGAGGTTGAGACGTGAGTAGGGATGACAATCAAACTCATGGCCGCGGGTACCCGACCGCCCCCAACCCAGTCGACGCGAGGAATCCCCGCATTGACTGGGTATGGGTAAAACCCGCAAAAATTTTGATGGGTATGGGGCGGGTATGGTTTTAGCCTCCCCCGCCCCATACTCATACCCATACCCGCCCTACCAAGAGAATTTCTTCACATATAAAAAAAATATTTGGATCAAATTGTAATCTATCAATGATTATGAGGATAACTCGAGAAAATAAATAGTAGAAATGCAATTGAGTGACCACCCTAATCAAAATATAATTCATTTCCCTCAATTCCCCTTTCACTTTCACCCTTATCAACAAGATTATGTTAGTTAATTATTACTTAGTAGATGTATCAAAGTTAGAGCATAAATTTGAAAATATTTTACTCTATATTATGTATTAATGGATGTTTTAAGATCATATTATTTGAACCGTATTAAGAAAATGATCGTGTTTTGTTGACTTCGTGATATAATAGGTTTTTTTAGAGTTATAATTAAAACTTTTCTTGGAAGTTTTAGGTACAATAATGTTGGATGTACGGGAACGGGTATTACCCATGGGTACCCGAAAGGCCGAAACCCCCGTGTATGGGGATGGTTTGCAAAACATTCCCCCGCATGGGTATGGAGCGGGTATGGGTTTGGGTATTTAAAGATGAGGATGGTTTAGACAAACCCGCCCAATTGCCATCCCTAGACGTTAGAAAGAAGAGAAGGGGAAGGAGGCCGATCGGCCAAGAGAGAAGAAGTGATTGGGAATTTTGTTTATTGATTGATAATCCCCAACTAACAATACTACGTAGACTTATAGTCTCTTCTCCTAACAACTACCATAATAATCCCAAATCTCCCCAATAATTCCCCATAATCCCAAATCTCTAAAATCTCAATGAATATCCTCAAATAACAATAACAATAATAATAATGACGTAATTAAAGCAATAAACTGGTGACACGTCATCAATCCGTGCCTCCATCACAAAAGTAGTAGATATCTATACTTGCTTCACGATACTGCATGTCAGATAATAGTAATACCCGCCCCATCGCAAGTCAGATAGGGCAATAACCGACGAGTGTGTTCAAATTGACATCGCTAGGGGGGAGGGCTAAGGGGTGGTAGGATGTCAATGCAAGCTAGGAAAATAAATATTTGAGATTGGAGGTTGATATTTGGGTGGATTGCAAGGGATAGTTAAAACTTAAAATACCATCCCACCCATTTGGACTTTTTTCTAAGGGTGATAATATAGGTTTTATCTTTTCTGGTTTATATACTACTTAAAGGATTCTAACATGCATAAGATTTACTGATTCAAAATTAATGGTGTTAGCACTAAATTAAATAAAACGGTTTTCTTATTTGAATTAGTTCGGGTTCGGATGGATATACACATTTACGAATTTTACATAAATAGGTTATTTCTTTTTTTTTTTTTTTTGCAATGATGGTAGCTCGCTCACACAAGGATTGTCAAGCAAGTTGAACAGAACATTCATCTACATGGGAAGACAACTAACAAGGGTTGTAAAACAGTAAAAGAGGTTGTACCGAGAAATCAATGAAGAATATTTTATGTTGAAATCGTGGTTCAACCATTCCTTACTCATTTAATACCAACTTTCAATAGAAGATTTGTTGGGTCAAACGACCGAGGTACTTTTTTCAATCTTTGCAAATAACATGAATTTCTAGTGAACAACCGCTTACTGTAATCAACAATCTCTACTATTCGTTCATTCCATGTTACGTACGTTGTTCTAAGCATGATAATCAGCAGTATAGGGTTCCACCACTGGTCATCCAGCAAAAATTAAGAATCCAAATGAGTTGTATGAAAGGAGAGAATGAACCAACACAGCATGCACAACAATAATCTATCATCATCATCGTTGTTGTCGTCCTCTCAAAATTACAAGGTGAAAAGAGATCGGGAGAAAAGTGTGGTGTGTGGAGAAGTTGCTCGATTAGGGTTTTGCTAATGCCTGATTGCTGGGGGCCAAATATGTGTTTTCCTTCTTCATTAACTGAAAGCGCACATCTCTATTTTATCTAAATTTTATATATAGTCATTGACGATAATTTGTAACAAAATTTAAATATAAAAATTGAAAATTAGCTAGTACTCACTAATGACGTGAAGTATATAAATTCTTATATTAATACTTTACATATATTATTTAGAGACTCTGTAATTCCTAGTATATTCTGGAAAATCATCCGATTCCGTTTTATAAATCATGAATTCCTCTATCCAACTTAATTAGTTAGCTCTACCTAACATAATGGTACAAATTGTTTTATGGTACAACCTAAACATATACATTTAATGTTATGGTACAACTTTGAGTTGTACATTAAAGCACCAATGCTATATAGCATAGTAGAAGTGCTCCCTTCGCGGAGATAGTGATGACAATTTCAACTCGCCCCGCGGGTATTACCCGACCTGACCCGCGATGGGCGGGTATTACCCGACCCGTAGTAGCGTGGGACGGGGCATGGGTATCTACTTCCTACCCGCCCTGCCCCGCGCCGCCCCGTTCTAGACTCATTTTATTTCAATTTCTTACAATATCTATACATATTTCTCCTATTTTGACTTTTCTTCAACTAGTTAGAGTCGATCTTTCAACTTGTTAGGCTCAATTATCCATTCTATTATCAATATTTTTCATTCTTAAAGTGTTTTTCCCTACGTTTTATTGTAAAAAGTAAAATTTACTTGTATTTTTTTTAACAACATATAAGAGTGGGTCGACCCGCCCCGCCCCGTACCCGCGCGAGTTTTACCCGCCCCGACCCATAGTAGCGTGGGGCGGGGCATGGGAATTGAGATACTCGCCCCGCCCCATTGCCATCACTACGCGGAGAGTAACTAATACACTACTCGATCCTTGATCGAGTGTTTGATTATTTGTACACCACGATGAAGAGTCGTAATCATACATTGTTTGGCAGGATGCTCTTCCTCTTCATGATCACGTTGTTTGTGCTGGTGGTACATTCAGCTGGTTCGTCGTCTTTTAGAATGGGCTTCTATAGACAATCTTTTCCGGCCGTCGAATCCATAGTGAGAAGTACCGTGAGAAGGACGGTGTCTCAAAATCCCGGCATCGATGCAGGACTCATTAGGTTGCACTTTCACGACTGCTTCGTCCGGGGTAGTGATGGTTCAGTGTTGCTGAACTCCCTCCTCGGTGGCCCGAAAGCAGAGAGAGACCACCCGGCCAACAATCCTGGATTGAGAGAATTCAATGTCATCGCGAGAGTCAAAAGAAGAATCGAGCGCATCTGCCCAAACACCATCTCCTGTGCCGACATCCTTGATTTCCCTGCCAGGGACAGCTCCCAGATACTCGGACGCATCAACTACCCTGTCCCCGCCGGCCGCCGCGACGGCCTTGTCTCCAGCTTCAACGAGGTCACGCTAAGAGAAGCGGAATAAGGTCTGAGATTTGGGTGGAGGAGCAGCAGAAAAAAAACTACAGTCCTCTCTTTAGGGTTTTCTATTTTATATTGGAGCACAACGGCTAATACACAGTATTAACGGTCATACGAAATCCATTAACCAAAGCTTAACACGTGCCAGGTTTGGATTCGTTATTAACCAACAGACTGCACTAAACAATCTCAAAGAATAAAGAACAAAACGGCAGCGCATATGAAAGTTCGATATCAGTTCCAAACCTCCATTCTTCTCCATTTTAGTCCTTCGTTCTGATGTTGAGATTGAATCCTTGTCTGATCAGGATTGCAGTGCAGAACTGTGGTGGCTGCTGTCCTTCTTCTGTCAGCTCCTTGCTGACCCTCCAATAGGCCCCCACAAGATGGCGAGTAAACATCAATAACTCCCATCTTGCCAAGCAACTCCAGCAGCCTGTACTTGCTGACTCCCTTAGTAAAAATATCAGCAAGTTGATCTGAAGTGTGCAAATGACACAGCCTAATCATGCCAGTCTTAATTCTTTCTCTAGTAACATGCATATCTATCTCGATATGTTTTGTTCTCTCATGGAAAACAGGATTTTCAGCAATATGAATTGCTGACCTGTTGTCACAGTAGACAGTAATAGGAGTTCTTACTTGAACTGCCAACTCTGATAATAGTCCCTTCAACCATTGTATTTCACAGACCAAGTGAGCCAAAGCTCTATATTCTGCTTCAGAAGAAGACCTTGACACAGTGGTCTGCTTCTTGCTTTTCCAGGTAAGTAATGAGTTCCCAAAATAAGTGCAAAAACCTGTGATTGATCTTCTGGTATCTGGGCATGCTGCCCAGTCTGAATCACTGTAACCAGTGATGGTGAAGTCTGTGTTGCTGCTGAACAGAATCCCTTGCCCTGGAGATTTCTTCAGGTATCTTACCCTTTGTGCTGCCTGCATGTGTGTGTCAAGAGGGTTACGCTGAAATTGACTTAACTGCTGCACTGTGTAACATATGTCTGGTCTGGTTATGGTTAAGTAATGTAACCTTCCAATCAATCTCTTATAGCTCCTTGGATCATCAATAGGAGTCCCTTCTCTTGAGCTCAGTCTCACCTTCATATCAATAGGAGTCAATGTCTCCTTTGCATCCTCATAACCAGTGTCCCCAAGCAACTCAGTGCAGTACTTTCTTTGATTGACTACAATTCCATCAGCATTCCTCACAATCTCAAGTCCTAGGAAGTACTTCAAAGTTCCTAGATCCTTGATTTTAAAACTTCTTTTCAAATAGAGCTTCACCAGTTCAAGGTCATCAAGCTTTTCACCTGCCAAAATGATGTCATCTACATATACAAGTAGAATGACCATCCTGCCTTGTACCCTTTTTGTGAACATTGAGTAATCTGAAGATGACTGAGAAAAACCATTCTTCAGCAGTGAAGAGGTCAGTTTGGCAAACCACTGCCTACTGGCCTGTTTTAGTCCATACAAAGATTTCCTAAGCCTGCAGACCTTACCTTCACTTCCCTCCAATCCAGGAGGTGGAGTCATATAGACTTCCTCCTCCAAGTCTCCATGCAAGAATGCATTGGAGACATCCATTTGATGTAAACACCAGTTCTTTGCTGCTGCAACAGCTAACAATGTCTTAACTGTGTTGATTTTAGCAACAGGTGAAAAGGTATCAAGAAAATCAATGCCATAGATTTGAGTAAATCCTTTAGCAACTAACCTTGCTTTATACCTTTCAACAGATCCATCAGGTTTAAGTTTGGTTTTGAACACCCACTTGCAGCCAATAGTCTCTTCCCTGATGGCAGAGTCACCAGATCCCAAGTGTGGTTTTCAGTCAAGGCATTTAACTCTTCTTCCATAGCTTTCACCCAATGGTGTTCCTTGGCTGCTTCCTTGTATGACTGAGGATCCATAAAAGCAACAAGACTCATCGCATACCTCTTCTGTTGAGGTGTAAATTGATGATAAGAAACATAATTAGTCATGCAATATTGACTAATTTGATTAATGGTTGTGATAGTCCTTATGCCATACAAGTGGATTTCTGTTTCTAGGAGGAAGATCATTGTCATCCAGTTCATCTCCTGGTAACAATTCATCATCATCAGATTCCTCCTGATAGTCAGGCTCAGCATCAGCAAAATCTTCATCTGTTGAGAGGTCTTCCTCTACTAGTGAGTGATGAGATGAAGACTGTGGGAAAGGAGAAGAAGATCCATCAACTGAGGTTGATGGGATAGGAACAGATGAAGTAGGTTGGCCCCCATGAGCCTGGACATCAGGAAAGGTGACTGTAGGCAAGTCAGGGAAGACTGGTGTGTCATCTGAATCATCAACCAGCCCATGAAAGGGGAAAATATCTTCATAAAATGTCACATCCTTGGACATAAACACGTCATGGGAAGTCAGATCAAAGAGTTTATACCCTTTGATGCCAAAAGGATATCCTAGGAAGAGACATTGTCTTGCTCTGGGTTGAAACTTAGTTCTACCACTGCTCAAGGTAGAAGCATAGGCTAAGCAGCCAAAGACCTTCAAGTGATCAAGGGGAGGTGGCTGTTTGTAAAGTAGTTCAAAGGGACTTTTGTTATCTAGGATAGGTGTAGGCAATCTGTTTATTAGATGCACTGCATGGAGTATGCAATCACTCCAAAACTGTAGAGGGATACCAGATTGAAACCTTAAAGCTCTTGCCACATTCAATATATGCTGATGTTTCCTTTCAACTTTCCCATTCTATTCTGGGGTAGCTACACAGGACATTTGGTGCTCTATTCCTTGTTCTTCATAGAACTCAGTCATATGAAACTCCCTACCTTGATCACTTCTGATAGTCTTTACAGATTTAGAAAACTGATTCTTCACCATGACACAGAAATTCTGTAGAAAAGACTTGGTTTCTGATTTGTGTTTCATAAGAATAGTCCACACAGCACGAGAATGATCATCAACCACAGTGAGAAAATAAGAAAAACCATCATATGATTCAACTGCCAAAGGCCCCCATATGTCCACATGGATCAAATCAAAGACATCATTTGCTCTATGTTCACTCAAAGTAAAAGGCAATCTCTTGTGTTTAGAAAAATGACAGACATCACAATGTTTCACTGTCTCATGTCTAACTATGGGATTACAAAGCTTTAATAACTGTATCTTCTTGGAACTAGGATGCCCTAAATGCCAGTGCCAAAGGTTAATCTTCTGAGGTTGGAAATTGTAGACTGAAGCTACTGAAGGTGTGATTTCACTCTCTGAACTGGACATTAAATGGTATAGACCCCTACTTTGCCTTGCCAAGCCAATCATCCTGTTGGTTACTAGGTCCTGGACAACACAAGAGTCAGATTGAAAGGTGAGGGAAATTGGTAAATCATGTGTCAATCTACTAACTGACACAAGATTGAAAGTAAAACTGGGAATTAACAAAACATTGTTCAATAGGATTCCTGATGGCAACCTAACTGATCCAATGTGTGTGACTAAGACTTTGGTGCTATTTGGTAAGAAAACTGACACTCCCTGTATTGGTTTGCATGTGGTAAAGAAATTCTTAGAGCAAATGATATGGTCTGAGGCACCAGTGTCTAAAATCCATGTTGGAACAAGTGAGGCCGAATGACAATGAACATATGAGGTTAGAACATATTTACCAGCTGCATTAGGAAATTGTGGCATCTGTTGTGCTGCTGAAAAGGCTGCATGACGAATGTTTGGTGAGTGTGGTGGTGATGGAGAGGGTGAAGGACTGGTTGTCACTCCTTGAAGCAAGAACCTGAGTCGATTCATTTCATCACCAGTCAGCTGAAAGTTAACAGTGCTGGCAGAGTTGTTGCCACTTCCTCCTGAGTTTACACTTCCACTTCCACTGCTTGATTGAGTCTCAAGCGTACCATCCTCAGATTCATTCACTGCCCCAGCAAAGTGTGATCCAGCACCTTGTTCCTTGTTCTTTCTCTTCAACTTCCAGCACTCTTCTATATTGTGATTTGTTTTCTTACAGTACCTGCAGAACAGTCCAGTTTCACTTCCTCCTGCATTTCCTTGTTTTGTTGACTGTCTTGCAGCAGTATTGTCATTCCCTTGTTTTCCATAAGATGCAAGTGCCACTGACTGTGTATTCCTTCCTTTGTCAGACTTCAGTTTCTGCTCATGCTGGAGAAGGTCCCCATATGCTGCCACAACAGTTGGAAGAGGCTTCATCATGAGAAGCTGGGTCTTCACAACATCATATGCAGGACTGACTCCTCTCACAAATCTCACAAGGTAATCTGTTTCTTGTTTTGCCTTAAAGGCTTCCACAGCTGGACATGGGAGAATCTGTCCTGGGGCACAAGTACAAGGTACTATTGGATTGAACTTCGAGTATTCCTCCCATAACCCTTTCATCAGTGTATAATATTGGGTTATGGTCAGGTTTCCCTGCTTACAAGCATGAATTTCATCTTCCAAGTTTGTCAGTTTCACAGCATTAGCTTGACCAAACCTGTCTCTCAATTCTTCCCACAGATTCTGTGCAACTTCATGACTCTGGACACTTCGCTTAATGTCCTTGTGCAGAGAATTGATAATCCAGCAAAGGACAACAGTATTGCAAGCGTCCCATGCTGATAGACCGTCATTTACACATGTTTTTACCCCCGTTCTTACACCGTTTGAGGTGTTGATTCTCGTGTTTTAGACCGATTTCACGCTAGGTTGTGCTTGTTTGTGATATTTCAGGTCCTAGTACGTGAATGAAGGCTTAGGAGCGAGTCTGGGGTCGATTGGACGAAGAACGGACGAATGGCGAGGTTTTTGGGGAGCTGCACGGGCAGACCAGGGAGGCTGCACGGCCGTGCACGGTTGCAAGCTGGCCGTGCGCCTCATGCCGAGGAGCTGCACGGGCAGGCCCTGAAGATTGCACGGCCGTGCACCTGGCCGTGCAAGAAGCCTGAGTTCGACTTAAGGGATACGCTGCGTTTCATGGTGCACGGCCAGAATGGTGAGGTGCACGGCCGTGCA